AGGGTTGTTAACCTCTCCAGGTCAGGACTTGCTGCTACCTGAAGGCATGGAGAAGTGTTCATAACAGTATGTACCCTGTGATCCCATCTTTGTATTAAAGAATATTTATTTGGGTGAGGAAAAAATTGGAATAACATCTAAATATTATTGGTTACCTCTATTAGTAACCAGTTGCTGTTGTTAAGTGCTGTGAAGTTGCTTCCTACTCATAGCGACCCTGTACAGAGTTTGCAAGGAGCAGCTGGTGAGTTTGAACCACTGACCTTGTGGTCCGGTTCTTTATCCCACAGCACCATACCAGGACTCCAGTAACCAATTAGAGTGAAGAAATTTTGATTTTTCTCTTCCAAGGCTAAATATGTGTAACATTAGAAAAATCTACAAACTTGGTAGTAGAGGGAGATGAGCAGCAGAGTCTACTGCGCATCCAGAGATGAATCACGTGGGGACTGTATACCAGTGAAAGCAAAGGGAGAATCTGAGACCATCTGGTAGGACAACCAAGTCCCCGAACCTTCGAAGCTTGACTTCCTTAAGCTCAGAAACTTTGATTTGGGAAAACTTCACTTTTCATGCTGTTCATATCCCTTAGAATACTCTTCTGAAGTTTTTAGGTATTGTTATCTTATAAGCAGCTGCACTGAGGGGACTCAAAAGAGGTTGTATTCCTCCTTGGGCTAGAGTGTAGAATTTGTGTCTTCCATGCAGACGACCTGGGTTCAGTTCCTGGCCAGTGTATCTCATTCACAGCCACCACCCGTCTGTGAGTGGAGGGAGGCCTGTGTCTTCCTATGTTGAACAGGTTTCAGTAGACTAAGACTAGTAAGAAAGGCCTGACAACCTGCCTCTGAAAACCAGCCAATGGAAACTTGTATGTATTATGGGGATGGCACAAGACTGAGCAGCATTTTGTTCTGTTGTGCATGGGGTTGTCAGGAATTGGGGGCCAACTCAAGGACAACCATCACTACCAATAGGAACCAAACTGTAAACACTCCAAAAGCAACTAAAATACATCTGGGAGGGGAAAGTTGCATAATTAACTTTTCCTCTCTTCAAGGACTTAAAAACAAAACATGTTAGTCTTTTTAAGAGACTTTGTTTTCGTATCATGACATGGTGGCCCCACCACTGGCATCAATCAGCCCTGCCACCAAAACCGGGGATGCCTCCACCCCTCCTCGCCAGGAGTTTCCCAGGCTCTACCTGCCTCCATCTCTCTACAATGTGACTCTCATCTCTCAGAAAGACTCTCCCCTCTAGCAAGAGGTCTGAGGCCTTTGAGCCTGGACTGTGTTTGTGGGGCAGGCACACACTTCCTCCATGAGGAAAGGTTGTTTGGGAGAGTTGAGCTTAGGAGACTCTTTGTATAGCCCTCAACTCAGAATTGGATAAACTAAGTTGACTGACCCAGAGACCTGGTTCCCAGATCTGGAGTAGTTCTGAAAAGAAATGGAATTACACACTCGTGCCCCCAAAGTAAAGATTCCATTTTCTGAGCAACTAACAGTAAGGAAAAAACTCAAGGAAGCCTCCTGCTCATGTACTCAGCCAAAGGCACCCGCTACTAAAGCTGTTGGTGGCAAAAGTTCAGATGATGGTCATGAATGCCATGGTCCCTCCAGGCCATCAGAAAGAGGGGTGTGTCTTAGAGGGAAGGACTCAAGAAATGGCCTACTGGAAGGCGGTGGGGAGAAGGAAGGGGTTGGGGACCCAAGAGTTCTCAAGAGGTGTTTCAGGGGCTGGAGACGAGATTTTTATGGCACCATACAAAATTACAGACACAAAATTTTGAAAGGTAATACTATTTTATTTAGTGTTCTAGGGAATTTTAATTTACTTCTTAAAAACCAAACCCAAGAAAGTCAAAGTTCCCAAAGCTAAAAATTAATCATTTTGTAATCCAAAATCCCTGGGTGATCCTTCAATTGGGGGAAGGGATTTAGCAGTTCATGTAGGCGATCTTAAGAAATAACAGAGTTTAGTGTGGATACTAAAAAATTAAGTTTTCCACCTAAGGCAATGGATCTTATAGCCTTGAGGGAGCATTACTTACTAGTTCTAGAAAAGACTTTCTAAAAGGGTGGTTGGGGTGGGGATGGGGGTAGCCAGAGAGGGGAGGTCCCCTCTAGCTTTCAATACATACCAGGGGACTTCAAAATGTTCATGGAAAAATGGAGTTAAAAGATAATGTGATTTTTTCCAGAACTTTTGAAGCCCTCCCTAGTAAATGGATAAGTATCATAGACTTTGCTCCCTCTCTGTCCTTTTAAACTCCTTCTCTGGAACTCTGTTGGCAACTCTGGAACTGATGGACACCTCTCCACTCCAGGTCAATGCTGTTCAGCATGGCGAAGAGCAGACTTTCTTCTCCACTCTGCTACCCTGTTATAACATACTGGGAGCGCAGAAAACCCGTCAAAGTTCCAGGAATGAGATGATATGCAAGAACTGAGCAAAAAGTCTGGCATTATTTTCAGGAAGCTTTCCTCCAGTGGAAGTTCAATGCGTGGTATTTGGTATTTAATCTGATGTTTCCTGAAAATACTGACTGATCTTTCTGGAAGTAGCTGGCAAGGTGCTCTGATGCTACAAGGCATAAGCCTCCTCCCAGCGCACCAGTTAGGGTGGTATGAAAAGCAGCTGGAGGCAAGTCCCAGCTCTCCTCATCTAGCTGGGCTTCTGGCCTCAGCCACACCCCAGTATTCAACTCCCACACTCTCTGCTAATGGCTCACAACATGCTACAGCTTTTCCTAGGAAAATTCCTCAAAGTGGAGTCTTCAAGTGGTCATTAACTGAATGACTTCTTGGCTATCTAGATAGTGTGGTGCAGGAATGTTATAAACTGCATTTTCTTTTTCTTTCCAGCAATGATAGGAGTCAGAGAGAGACCCTTGAAGTCAATTGTCCTTCATTCTCCAGAGTTCCCAAGTGGCATTTCAGAGTACAGGAATCTACTCCTTCGCCTAGAGACGTCCTTGTCAAACACTGACCGAGTGACATACCTAGAGTTCTAGCAGCAGAAGCCTCCAGATCAGCCACCTCTCATGAACACCACAAGTCTCCAAGGGAGAGTATACCTGCCCCTAGCACACTTGGGCTATCACAGTAAAAATACATTTATATCAAGTAAAAAACAAAACATAAAAGGAAACAAATATATACATGTACATGTTCAGAGTTCAAATGAGTCAAGTTTTCTTGATAGCTATGTAAATATATTTCATAGCACTAAAAAATACAAGTCATTTGCAAAGTCCACAATAGTCCCCAGCACTGTAGGAGAGTTAAATAAAATAGGTCTAGCTAATTAAAGGCTAATTAGATAAATCAAGTTACAGTATTATCCTTCAGATTAAAGTGCTCCGATGTAACTGATGCTGCAGCAAAAGTGATCTTTAAGAGAGATTTCGCTGCCTATTACCTGTGCTCTAACTAGCTACAACATAACATACATAGGAGACAGTCATAATTTAATAATCACTATCACCTCACCCCTGCCCACCCTAATGGCCTATGATCCTTTCTCAGGGCAGATGTTGACATTTGATGAGATCCTATCACAACCAAGAGGAAAAAATGACCAATCTGGAAATCTTCTGATTCCAATACTAGGTTACTAACAATGAAATTCACTGAAAAACCTGAACAGGTGCTGTCACTTAAGATAGAGGTAGGTGTCCAAAAAAGTGTGTACTAACTTAGCTTTTTTTTTAAAAAAAAAGAAGTTATCATCTTGCTTTTCATAATTGTATAACAAGAAAATGTCTGAGTCTATTCATGAAGGGAAAATGCAAAAGCAGCAACAGTGTAAAGACTGGGGCATTTGTATTTTCTAATGGCTTTTCAATGTTATTACCTAGATTAGGTCCCTCACTATGACTTCCTGTGTCCCGGCAGACACCTAGGGTTTCTGTTCTAGCAGCAGGGTCAAGAAATATTCCGAGGCCTCTACGAACCCAGTTCAAGCCCTTCAGGGTCTGACCCTGTGACTCTTGGTGACCTGCACAACCGAGGGACTTCTTCATCTGGGAGGAGTTGTTGAGTCCTGTCCCCCTACAGGAAATGATGCTAAGGAAACCAGGGAGCCAAACAAAAACACTGGGGGTGGGGATGGGGGGGTAGGATAGCTAAAGGACTCCTACAAAAGCCATTCCATACCTGATGGAACCATTTATATAAGTGCCAGGATGGGCCAAACCCTATAACAAAGCAATTGAGTAGGCCACTCTAGGCAGCAGGAACCCTGTTATCACCAGAGAAGGACTTAGACCAACTTCCCATAATTCAGGGAAGAGTGAGTCTCAAATTTCTGTAGTCTGTGTGTCCTATATCCAGTAGAAGGGACCACGCACCTATACGAGGCATATTTTAAGGCTGGAGAGTAGTGAAAGCTGCTATTTAGAAAAGGCAGCTAGTTCAGAATCTTCAAGGCACACTCAGAGGTTTCTCCTAAGCTACACTGTTCCAGTGAACAAATAAACAAGAGCCAAGTGTGAGACGTCTGTAGTTTTACATGGTATCAAATTTTAGCATCTGTGGTCAGAAAGTCATACCTGAGCTACTTACAAGCCAAGGAGGTATGTGTAACAGCATGGGCAGGATCCTTCTTAATTCATCCTGAATTTTGGTTGGCTGGAGAATAGGTATCTTAAAACCTCACTATCAAAGAGTGGAAATCCCGGCGTTAAAATACATTAATACCTCCTGTGACATCTGAATCTCTGGCCTAGGATCATATGTTATGACCATGTATCTTGCGGGCATAAAATATTTACAGCACAGTTAAAGGCACAGTGTCTTTTAAAAAATTAAGTCCTGGGAATGTATAGTAAAAGATTCATTGTAATAATTAACCTGGCTTCAACTGGTAGAATTGACTCTTGCCAGATAACGTGCTGGAGCCTGTTGCCTGGTTATCTGGCGTACTGAGTTCTTGACCTTGAAAGCAGGCGGCAACAAACTCACACCAAAGTTCCAGCGTTTTATTCTGGCGATTCACATCTTTCCTGCCTTTTTGCCGACCTGAGCTGGAACACGGAGGATGTTAGGGGTTTCTTCCATAACTCTGACTAGCAGATTATCTATATAGTCTTCCAGCTCTCGAACCTGAAACTCCTTCTTGCTGATTGTTTCCTTCTGTTTGAGGACCAACTGGATCAGCTCATCATGGGTCAGCTGCACGTAAGCAAAAGCAGGGTCCGAGGGATTGTATTTCTTTGGAGAGGGGAGAAAAATGTTATAAAGTCAATATGTCAATCACATGTCTAAAAAGGAAACTGTTATTAGTGATCTGGACCTCCTGAGTTGAAAACAGGTTGCTGACTAATGAAATTTAAAGACTAAACTGGTGCAGTGAACTTTTGTAAAGAACCCCAGAATCAACATTTTTGGCTTTGCTGGCCACAGATGGCCTTTGTTGCATACTTCTTGTTTTGTTTTTAAGTTACTGTATGAGTCAATCCCAACTCATGGTGACCGTATGTGTGTCAGAGTAAAAACTGTGCTCCCTAAATAGATGACAAAAATAGATCACTAGGCCTTTGTTCTGAAGAGCCTCTGGGTGGAACTGAACCAACAACCTTTCAGTTAGCAGCCAAGAGTGTGGTTAACTGTTTGTACCACGTAAGGCAAGCACTCCTTGAAAAACCATACTGAGCTCACAGGATTAGCCTCTGGGTTTGGGGTTGGAGAAATGCCTCTGTGAACAACGGCAAGCTCTCACAGTCAAGTATCAGTGCCAACCTGAATGATGAGCCCCAAGCCCCACAGGGTCCATAGAAACACAAGCAGAAGGCAAGCTCCTTCCTTCCAACACAATAGGTTGCATCTAACTTGGTTCTCGGACGCTGCCTACAGGACACTCAGTGGGTTCAGTGATTAGATGGATGTAGTGGCCACTCAGATGTCCCACCTACAGCCACAGAGTCCTGTATACTCATGAAAAATATGCAGATTCAAAGCCAAGTACCACATCCTCACAGTCATCACCTTCAGACATCTATAGTGCACCCTCTGGGTACACAGCGGCCTGTACTAGAGCTGAATGTCACGTTCCCACTCCTGATGAAAGGGCAGACACCCTCAAGAGTTACTGTACTTCACTGGCATTGATATAGTCTGAGCTGTCTGGAGTCCAGCTGTAATCTGTCAAAGCCTAAACCCCGAGAAAATACAAAATAAGGATTACGTAAAAAGGATCAAGTCATACTACGTTTCTAGTACCCACCCATTGCAGTCAAGTTGATTCTGACTCATAGCAACCCTACTAGAAAGGAGTAGAACTGTCCCAAGCAATGGGAAACTCTTTTTTCACCCTTGAAATCAATGACTCAGAGGAGTTTCCGAGTTTACATAAACCAAATCCTGGAGCAACCACTAAACATTTTTGCCTAAAGAATTCTGAGGGCTGCCTCCATGAGGGTATGAGAACTTCCCTGTCTAACAGGAAGGGTAGGAGACTACCTTCTACAAACAGCAGCCTCGTCAAAAGCAGACTCCATACTCACTCTTCAATGGCAACACAGCAAAAGCCACAGTTCAAGCTACTGAAATAAACTGCCTACATACAGCCAGGGTCCAGAGGAGAAATTCCACCTCTATTGCTCTGGCCAGGAAGCAAAGCATGATGATTGCAATATTAGCCCCTAAATTCACACAGATTATTTTCATATAAAGAGAGAAGTTTAACCAGAGGACACGCTGCACATAAATATAGTTAAAAGGTAAGTTTTGAAAAGCTGCTTCTCCCTTAACCTTTTGTTGTTGTTGAAAGCATTCATTCAGAGAACTTGTGGGCTTCAATCACTGTTTGTGACTTCAAAAGCAGTATTTAACCACAAAGTAGCATGTTTACATTTCATACCAAGAAAAACAGTAGTCTTTTATATAATAGTGAAAACTATGTCCTCAAGGGTTATTAGGTCGTAACTCTTTCATATATGGATTTTCTCTTTGAAAAACGAAATACTCTGTAAAGGAGTTAGGGAGATAGAAAGATGAAGAGGCTGCTAATGGGAGTGAAGCCCAAGCAGGCACTCCTGGAGGACAACGGCCAGGGTTTGCAATTCAGTCACTTCAGGTCTGCTTGGCGTCCCGGCATACCCAAGACAATGTGCAGAATATAAAGCTCCCTGGATTAGAGTCCACAGAGGTGAACTGTGAACTGTGAGTTAGGAGCCTGGGCAGGCAGGTGATCAGGACACATTCAAATGATGTAGAGACATCTGAATGAAACCTTGAAGCATAAATTAAAATTTCTTTTTCCCCAAAAGAAGATTTTTCTTGAGTTATAAAGGATATTTGCTCCTCTCAGTGCATGCAATGAATTAGTTTGTATGGCTCTTCTACCCATAGCCTTTGTAACTCACATCAAACAACTTTTTTTTTTTTTTCCTTGATGCGTCTGGGTTGAGAGAAGGTAGGGGAAGATGCTGATAGGATTATGTCATTCAGTTGTGAGTGATTGTTAACAAGGTTAATTGCTATTGTAAAAACTTGGAACTCTAACATGGGTATAAAATAAGACATGTCAGATGCAGGAACAGGACTCTCATTACCATCAAGGAAGAAGAGTCAGAAATGGAGCATGTCCTTTGGACCCGAGATCACTACACACTGAACTTATTCAAACCAGGGACAGAAAGCTATGACACCAGAGGTTAGCAGAAGTGGCAGAGGAGCAGTAGGAGCAGAACCTAGAGTCAGAACACCAGACAGAGCAGGGGGTTCTCCAGCCTGTGGGGCAAGTAAAACTGAGTGCGTTTGGGCTCCAGCTTATTGTGGATTACAGTGCCCTTTAGGCATTTATCAGCAGTGCTAAAGGAGCTCTGTGCCAAGTGGCCCAGGGCTGGAAATGCTGGAAAGTCAGGCTGTCCTGAATGTAAGAACTGTGCCCTGAGCATTTCTAATCCTCAATTGTAACCTGTTAACTTCCCTAATAAATCCTGTAACTGTGAGTACAGTGTCTGGGTTCTGTTTGGCCATTGCAATGGACTATCAAACCCAGTTGGGTAGAATGCTGTAGGTGGGGGGGGGGGGGGGGAGGGAATGGTTAGTGTCAGAATTGGTAGAGATGGTAGAAGGTTGGGGGTTATGTCTGACCTCAGCCTCAAAGGAATCAGCCTTGCTTGGGCTGGTGATGAGTTTGATTCTCCTCCCCTGTTGTGATGTTAGAGAGGGAGTGTTGGACCTCTTTTTTTTTAATACACTCCTCACAGAAAAGTGAAAAAAATCATTACGTTTAGCTCTGTAAGATAAGCACTGGACTATGAACCACGAGGTTGGTGGTTTGAGTCCACCAGCTGCTTGACAGAAGAAAGATGAGGCTTTCTGTTCCAGCAAAGATTTATACAGCCTCGGAAATCAACTCAAAGGCACTTCAATAATTCGAACACATAACATTTAGGTCTCTTATTTTTCCTGGGTTTGTTCATGTTTTACAAATTCAGCATCATACAAAAAAAAAAAAAAAAACTTTCTCAGCTTTGCTTTTAACTTATTATTTTGTGAACATTTACCCTTCATTAATTTTGAGCAAAAAAAAACGTTAATGGCTGCTTTAAATGCTATTATATTTTAACCAAGTCTCTATTGTTGGATATTTAGGTTGCTTTCACTTAAGTTGCAGGAGCCTAAAACTTTGCCCATATTTCTAAATAGTTGCTTAGGATAAGTAGTACCTAAAATTGAACAGGCATTCAGATCACACTTAAGGTACTTCATGCAAACTCTCAAAACAATGAATATTGGCTCTTGGAGTACAAACAGGGAGTGGGAGGGAATATATTTATGTAGGTATGTATTGTTAAGTGCCAGCATGTTGTGGTTTTGACATATAGCGACCCTGTATAGGGTTTCTGAGGCTATAAATCTTGGCAGGAGCAGAAAGCTTCATCTTTCTCCCAGGGAGCTACTGGTAGGCTTAAACTGTCAACCTTGTGGTTCACAGTCAAGTGCTTAAACTACAGAACCACTGTGCTCCCTATATGTATGTAAAGATATATGAAATATTTTAAAATCATAAGCAAATCCTATTTATGTGATGATTTTAAAAAACAATACCACGTTACCGAGAGGGAGCAATTGTGAAGGAAAGGACAGAGTCCACAGAAAATACCTGCTAATGCAAAAAAGAATAGTGCCTCTTATCATGTATTTCCTGCCAGGAATTTCACATTTGACTTTTTTTTTTTTTTTTAAAACACAGAATAATGAGGTACATTCAAATGTGTGTCTAACACTTTCCATATAATATGACAAATGTTTGGACTTAGTTGGCTTCCATTTTAAAATGGAAGTGCTAAAGCTACCTGAGTAAATAATACACTCCTAGTTATAAATCATCTATAAAGGGTGGAGTCCCTAAAACAATAAGGAAAACAAACCCCAGACCATTGTATAATGATCCAGCTAGCTTTACATAACTTTAGCTATGCAATTTCATTCCCACTTACTTTTGCATCATACTAAAGAATGGCTTTTTATTTTTATTTTTTTTTATTTTAAAATAAATTTTACGTTATGCCTTATTGCAAAGTGTCCATAAGGCAAGCCAATAATAGAGTCTCCAGAAAACTTTCAATATTTACTTAGAATATTTACTAGGCATGGTCCATGACCAAGTGCAGAAGCAGGGCTTAGAAACCATGAGCAAACCTAGTAGCAGTGGTCTTTAAGACAAGTTACTCTCCCAATCGAAGGGCCCTGGTGGCAGAGTGGTTAGGTGCTTGGTTGCTAACCAGAACATTGGCAGTTTGAACCCACCAGCTGCTCTATGAGAGAAAGATGTGGCATCTGCTTCCAGAAAGATTCCAGCCTTGGGAACCCTATGAGGTAGTTCTGCTCTGTCTTATAGGGTAGCTATGAGTTGGGATCACTCAATGGTGTACAACCCAATCACTGCCAGGTCTAAATCCGTGATTAAATGTACTTTGAAAGGTAAAGAAAACAGAAGGTCTTTGCTAACTTTCCCCACAGTTAAGTGTTTGTTTTCTCTTTGGAGCTAAGCTGCATTCTGTACTAAAAGGAAAAGGGGATGAGAGACTGATCCTAGTTTTATCACCTATTATGCGATTTATAAGGAGCTCTCTGGTAGTGTAATGGTTACGAGTTGGGTTGCTAACTTCAAGGTCAGCAGTTCAAAACTACCAGCTGTTCCATGGGAGAAAGATGAGATTTACAGCCTCGGAAACCTTGTGTAGGGTCATTATGAGTCGGAACTGACTCTACGGCACACAACCACCAACCACCATTATGCTGATTTCTTTATACTTTTTTCCCCTCCGGGAAAAATGATGGTGGTTGTTAAGCGCCGTTGAGTCAGTTCTGATTTACAGCAACCCTGTATAGTGTTTCCCAGGAACAGCTAGTGAGCTTCAGCCACTGACCTTGCAGTCAAATCGACCTTACCATCCAGTGCATTAACCCACAGCACCACACCAGGACTCAGGGGAAGACAAATGTTGCCTTTTCACCTGTAACACAGAAGCTAGCCAAGCCGTACTGGTCAACTTAGAGTACATGTTATGGACTGAGCCTAACACACAGCAAGCAGGTAGTCAGTTCTGGCAAGGGCTGCTAGCTTTGAGAACGATGGTGACCATTATCTGCCTAGTCAGCAAGCATTACTAGGGAAGATAGGGCAAGAGGGTTAGAAGATGCTAACTTGTCTTAAGCAGCAATTAATTACTGCTGAATGTAAATACACAATATAAACAATTATTGCTTTATAAAAATAACGTTCTTATTTACAGTCCATAGTCCCTAGAAGTTTGTTGGTAAGTTCCTCTCTACATATTTGAAGTACAACACGTCCTTAAGAAACTTAGGTCACCAATTCCTTAGTAAATCATTCTCTCCCAGTCCGTGTGAGACTGAATCAGAGAAGACCAGGGGTGACAACAAGGCAGTATTCTAGATTCTTCTAGTTTAAGAACCAAGAAAGGAAGGATGAAGACAACCAAAACTAAGATCATAAAAGGATGTACTCTAGGAGGCTGGCTTTGTTCCTGTGGGGAGGAGCTGTTTTTTGAATGTCAGTTCACAGTTTTTGGAGTCCTGGTGTGGTGCTGTGGGTTAATTCGCTGTACTGCAAAGTCAGTTTGAACTGCAAGATCGGTGGTTCAAGCTCACCAGCCGCTCCTTGGAAACCCTATACAGGGTCGCTATGGGTCAAAACCAACTCGGCAGCACACACCAACACAGTTTTTTAAGAGAAGAAACCCTCTAATCCAGTAGTAGTCTTCCTGGCAATTTAGCTTAAAGAAATAACATAAAAGAAGAGAAAAAAGTTCTCTGTAAAAAATTGTTGATGATTGTTGTTGTTGTTGTTAAGTGCCGTCAAGTCGGTTCCGACCCATAGCGACCCTGTACAGGGTTTCCAAGGGTGTAAATCTTTACGGGAGTAGAAAGCCTTATCTTTCTCCCGCGGAGCAGCTGGTAGTTTCGAACCACTGACCTTAAGGTTTGCAGCCCGATTCGTAACCACTACGCTACTAGAGCTCTGTTAGTGTTATTCATATGGAAAACAGAAAACCTAACTATCCAATAATAGTAATAATAAGTAAATATTGGCATAACCAAAGTCCTGGTGTCTGGCTGCAGGATAAGCACACAATTGCTAACTGCAATTTCGATGGTTCAAACCCACCAGTTGCTCCATGGAACCACTAAACAGGGTCACTATGAGTCGGAACCAACTTGGTAGTACTTAACAACAACATTGGAATAACCATTTCAAAGTACAAGTAGCAACATATAAAGCTTGATATATTGCTCAGTGAAAAAAGAGTTTCCACATTTGTGATAAGAGTCAGAAAAATCATCATTTTGCAACCATCCCTGGATACTAAAAGTCTGAAGGGAAAGTTTAACGAGGAACAGGGATATTTATCAAATTATCTTCCCACAAATGATTTATTAGTTGTAATGGAAAAACTTTAGCAACTCTACAGTGGAGAACCCAGCAGACACCACTTAAACTAAGTTATCAGAGTTAACACCCCCACTAAAGGGGAGCAGCATGAACTGCAAAGTTGGCAGTTAGAGACTACCAGCTTGTTCTGCATGAGAAAAACAAGACTTTCTGCTCCTGCAAATATTTTTTTAAAAGGCTGGGAAACCCTATACAGGGTGGCTGAGTCAGAACCAACTTGACAGCATTTAATAACAACAACAAGGGGCAAAACTTTATCATGCTGTTGTTAAGTGCTGTCGAATCAGTTCAGACTCATGAAGACCCTGTATAGAGTTCTGAGAAGCAGCCAGTGGGTTTGAACCACTGACCTTGTGACTAGCAGTTCAGTGCTTATCCTACAGTGCCACATCAGGACTCCAACGATATCACAAGCCTCCTTAAAATGATGCACCGAGAAAGAAACATTGTATAGTTAATCTCTGTTAAGAATGAACATAATCTTAACCAAATCATGAAGAAACATTAGACAAACACAAACCGAGGAAGAGTCTATAAAACAATGGATCTAAACGCTTTAAAAAGTCATTGTCTTACAAGACGAAGACTGAGGACCTATTCCAGAATATAGGAGAGTAAAGGGACAAGGAGAAGCTTTGAGGGCACAATGGTTAAAGGACTTGGCTGCTAACTGAAATGTTGACATTTTGAACCCACCAGTAGTTCTAAGGGAGAAAGACCTGGAGATCTGCTCCCATAAAGATTTCAGCCCAGGAAACGCTAAGGGCAGTTCTACTCTGTCCTACAGAGTCGCCATGAGCTAGAATGGACTTGATAGCACACAATAACAACAACAAAAACAACAAAGACACAAGAGGCACTGGGTGACACAGTTAGATGCTCGGCTAGCTGACCCAGAGTAGGTGCCCCTCAGGGGACAGACCTAGCTTATTTTCAAAAGGTCACAGCCTTGAAAATCCCAGAGAGCAGTTCCTTCTCTGTATGTACACACAGTTGTCATGAATCAGAATAGACTCAATGTCAACCAGCAATAACAACAAAGGCACACGGAAACTAATCACCATCACTGGGGGAGGAAAACAAAAACTAAAACAGACACTACTGAGACGACTGGTTTAACTAAATGTGGACTACGGGTAAGAAAACAAAGTATCGCACTGATGTTAAATCTTGCGAATTTAAATATGTCACTATCCTTAGGATTTACACTTATTTTAAGGGGCAAGGGACATAATGTATACAACTCACTCTCAAATGGTTCAGAAAAAAGTATGACTATGTGTATACATGTACACAGTGAGAAAGGGAAGAGAGAGGAAGAAAATGATAAGACAAATCTGGTAAAATGTTACCAACTGTTGAGTCAGGATGAAGGACACACAGGAGTTCTTTGTACTACTCTTGCTACTTTCATGTAAGTTTGAAATGATTCCAAAATAAAGTTACAAAAAAACTATATTCACACAATGAATACAACTCCATGATATATTCTTACTGGAAGACAAGAAAGGAAACACGGGGAGATGAAAACATCTACTCTGAATGGGTCAGACTGTTGGTGACATTTTCTTCTCGTGAAAAAAAAGTGCTGGTGTCAATCATGTTGGCTTGATACAAAAAATTAAATAATAATTAAACAACTTCTTGTTATTTATATAATGAAAAGAGTAATTATCCCATGGAAAATCTAGAGGTTTCCAAAGGTTATCTTAAGCACACCAGAGGTATGATTAAACTAGTCTTGGTATTACCTATTGTTGCCCAAGGAGATGTACATAATGGTGACTCTAGAAATGGTGTTTTGGTTAACTATCATGCCAACTTCTTGGAGAAGACATACCTTCATTACGGCTTCATTGATCAAGTTCTCACTGATGATGGTAGCGGTTCCCAAACTGGAGTTAGCAACCTTCATGGCTGTTGTGTTCATTGGCTTCACAGGATGAAGCCTAAGGAGAAGAAAAAGGATGCTTAGACTTTTTAAGTAATGGGAGAACAGAGAAATAGCCCATTTCAAACATGACAGCCAGCAAGATAGACAAGGAAGAGAGCTGACTGATGCTCTGCTCACATCTTCAATCCAAGACACTCCAATGTCTAAACTCCTGTGAAATGACAGAAGTCAGCAACAGGTAGTCATATGCAAGCCAGCAAAGCATACCTGGAGCCAAGTGTCTTGATGTTCTCATAAAACCTTTGTCTCATTATGAATATCAGGAGAACATCAAAGGCAGTCTCTTACTTTCAGAGGCAACTATAACCTAGTACTCCACAGTAGAAGTTCCTGCAGGGTCTTCTGTTCTTCAACAGTAAGGAGTTCAGAATATGCCAGCTTGATATTAGGCAGTGCTTGAAGGGACTGCTAGATCACTCAATCTCTGTTGGTTTCTGAGACTACTAAGATACTAGTCACAGTACATTGCTGCAATTTTAGAGCTCAACATTTGACTGTGGAACAATTCCAAAACTATCTTTGAAGACTACTCTCATCACAATAGGCCCTACCAGCAAAACAGACTGGTTTAATGTCAGAACAGCTGTGTGGTTAGAAAGCCCGAACTTCTGCAGGTAAAAAGCAAGGGGAAGAACATCGCTCACATTTATGAACACAATCTTGCCCATCTCTCACCTGTGCTTGGCTGACCCAGTTCCAGTGCCTGGCTGAGCTGAGACTGGATGTGTCTCTGAGGGTGAGACCCAGGCCTGAAGAAGCGGCTTCCTCTTGCCAGAATTTTCAACTTTAGCAGCGGAGCCCTCTGCTGTTGCTTTTTTTTGAGATTCTGCTGTGCTAGTGTGGTGAGTGTTAGAATGTGGAGAACTAGGTAAAGAGTGTGTGGCAGAAAAGGGCTCAGAAAGGGAGGGATTGGAAACAGGAGAGTCCAAGGATGTGTCAGGAGGCTGGCTCGGCCTCCCATTTCCCTCCAGTTTTTCTTCCTCACCACCACCACAAGGGCCTGGCAGCTGTTTATCCAAGCTTGAGCTCTTGCCAAGAAGTGGTTTATGAATTCCTAAAACTGTAGTTTGCTCTGAAGAAGCTGTAACAGATGCCTTGAACGCTTTCGATCTGAGGTCATGTGGGCTCTCTGCAGTCACTGTGGGACTATCTTCACCACTTGGTCCCTTTTTCTTCTCAGGACAGGGAGGTAATGTGTTCGAGGAGGAAGCTCCTACTTCTGGAGCTGCCACCCTTGCTGTCTCTCTGACATCTTCAACCTGGTCTACTCTTTCATCATCTGATGCAACTTCAGGAATGGAAGGGAGGGTTAAGTACAGATCTGCCATGACTGGAGATTCAACATCTGCAGCAGACTGAAGATCACTCAGGGGATCAGACAATAGGCCTTCATGGTCACTGGCTTTACTCTGATACTGCTCCATCAGAGCATCATCTCCCTCAGTCCTAATGAGTGGAGTGTCTTTCTCTGAGCTTGCTTCACTTATGGGGTCTTCTGAGAAACGTTCCTCATCACCTGCCATGGGAGCCAACACTCCACAGTTCATCAGCCTGTGTTCAGCCACAGCTTTCTTCTCTGAATCTTCTGTGTGGGGAAACTCCGGAGACTCCCTGTCACACACACTTCCAGCAGCAGTCCCTTCCTGGTTCAGCTCCTGGGGATTTCTGTCCTCCTCTACCCATCCGGTAGACTTCTCCACCTCCTCTTCTGTGACAAGCTCTTCAGAAAACGACACACACTTCTTGGCTTTCTTTTGGCCTTTGCTGGCAGGCAGATTTACCTCTTCATATTTCTGTGTCAACGAGTCAAGCGGAGGAACCGATTCATCTATTTTAAGAGAAGGTACCACTTCATTAATTGCAGAATTTACCTCACTTTCTCTAACTTTGTTCTCCACCAAAGATCTAGACTGAGTCTCCCTGTCTGTGTTTTCCCCCATCCAAGGCTTCCCTGCTGAGCTTCCAGTTCTGCCATTTCTGACTGAAAGGGCCGATGTTTTTTCCTGGGCCTCTTCAGACGAAGGGATGTCATCTTGCTTTTGGGGGAAGAACCTCAAAAGCTCCTCTTCTTGTCCCACTTCAGGGTGCTCCTCATTGTGGGCATTCTTTTCTGTGTCTGGCTCACTGGCTTTCTCCATTAGAGACACTTCTGTCCCTGTACACAGTGGAATGGGTAGCTGTTCAGAAAGTGATCCCAAGGCAGAAGAACTAGTTTTTGGAGCTTGTGTTATACTCTCCTTTTGCAACAACTCTGCTTTAAGATACAAAGATGGTTCTTCAGAACTGCCCTGGCTCTTGTCTGTGTAAGGCCAGCTTTCAATAGGAGTAGATGTGGAAATGGGAGCCACTATGGGAGATGGGAAAGAGAAGGCAGTAGAAGGACTTTCAGAGGACTGTGCCTCTGAATCATGTCCCAGTTCAGAAGGGAGAAGGGTCTGACCAGAACTGGAAGAGAGAGCAGACAAAAGGAGAGGTGGGTCAGGGGAAGGAGTTAGTAGCCTGGCTTTGGGTTGAGCCTCTGGAGACTCTTCCAGTCTGTAAAAAGGACAAAATAAAATCTGCACGTCAGTTGCAGATGCATGGGGAGACACCAAACCCCCCCAAAAAATAAAGTCAATCAAAAGGGGAGAACTTTTTAACATTTGGGGCAGAATCCTAAGAAATTAAAGAAGGAACACCAATACTCATCATACGAAAAGGACACTTTTATCACCAAGCACATCTACCACACAGAGGTCTGTTGCAAGAGAAATGAAAAGATCCAGGTGAAGCAACAGCCTACAGTATATCTTTTGGTGATAAACGCAAAGGCTTAGCATTAGATTATTACAGGGTGAAACACATCTAAGAAGTCCAAAGCAGTAGAAGTTACAAAGTAACAGGAAAAGAGTTTAAACAGAGTTTGAACAATGTGTGTGTGTGTGGTGTAAGTGTGTTTAAGATCGAAGTAAGCAGAATCTCCAAAAAAAAGTCTCTCACATCCCAGGCCACAGAGATTGTCAGTGTGAATGTAAGTCATACCCCAGAGCAGAAACACCCCCAAATCTTCTCACTTGGCTTCTTGTAACAAGAGGCAGAGTAAACACATAGAGAACTATCATAACACACTCAAGAATGGACCATGGGTCTCTCATACCAGCAAATCAATATGTCAGTGTGCAAATAGAAGAGGTAATATTTGCCTCAAAAGAGGATTTACAACAAGAACCTAATAAACACACATTCTGCATGTATCAGAACCCAAACCTACTATTCACAATTTGTAGCACTCAGAACCTGGTTCAAACCATGGCAGGAACGTCTACTGGGGTCTGCTTACCACACTGAGATGGACAAGTCATTCCTGCTTGTCCTGGGAAACACTGTGATTTGTGCATGACAGGCCAGACAGGCAGCAGGAACTGGTTTTAAAAAAACTATTCAGACTACTAAACATTTGGCAAATGCGTGTTCTAGTTAAGTGCCATGGAGTCGGTTCCAACTCAGCAACTCGGTATAGGGTTTCCGAGGAGCAACTGGTAGGCTTGAACTGCCAACCTTGCAGTTAACGTATGGTTAGCAGTCCAGTGCTTATCCTACAGCACCACACCAGGACTCCGATAAGCAGTAAGGCGTGCTTTAATGGTAGGCCTTGCTGCATGCCACGAGCAGGGAGGTGGAAGGGCCTGGTGAGAAGAGCCAAGACTTACCGGGGTTTGACGGCTTTGGTCTGGGGAGCCCTCGGTGAAGGGATGGGTGGCTTAGGTTCAGATTTGGACTCTGGCTCAGCTTCTGACTCTGTGATCTGCATTTCTTCAAAAGGGTTCAGAGATTTACCCCGTCCGGAGACAAAAGCTGGAGTATCTTTCTCAGACTTTTTCATAAGGTCCTTAACAGGCTCTGACCTGTCCACCCTTGGTTTAATTTCTGGGAGCGCACCTTCCTTCTCCTTCCCCGGGACAGTAGGAGGGCTTTCACTGTCACTGCCCTTAGCCGCGTCCTTCTTTCCAGTTACCAGAGAAAGCAAAGAGGACTTCTTATTCTCCGGCTTCTTGCTCTCTTTGGTTTCTTTTGCAGCCTCAGAGCTCACCGAGGCCGTGTTTCCCCTAGTGTCCCCGCTGGCCAGTGGTCGATAGGATGGCAGAGACATGGATTTCAAAGAGTCTTTTGTGGACGACTCTGTGAGCTGCCTGTCAGAACCCATTCCACCTACTTCCCCAGGTTCCTTCCATGACCGAGGAGCGAGGTTTTCAGTGGATGAGAACAAATGCTTCCTCCTGAAGCCCTGGGGTGATGGGGAGGAGGATGGGCTGCTGTCCTTGGTCTCGCTCTTAGATTCTGGCTGCTCCAAGTACACATGGTTCCCATTGATACAGACATTAGAGCGGGAAAGGGTGTCATTCTTAGACCGAAGGCCACCGAGAAAAGAGAGTCCTTCTTTCTTGGGTAGGCTGAAGTTAATCTGGTTCAGTTGCTTGGGATCTGCACTTGCTGTTCTCTTGTGAGTCATGACTATGAAAGGAAAACAAAAAACAGAAAGGGGAATTACAGAAGCTAAATAAGCGGTTGGTGGAGCACAATTTGTCAATATCTGGATACACTTTTGATGGTTACAACTAGAGGTGTCATGCTGGCATCTAGAGGGAAGAGGTCAGGGATGCTGTTAAACATCCAACAATACACAGCACAGCCCCCCCCCCCCCAACAAAGAATCAACCAGTCCAATCCGTCAATAGTGCTGAGGTTCAAAACCAATAAAAAGGGCAGCACTCTTGGTAGAGTAACAGAATATGGGCAATAGTAGGGATTTGGTCATTGAAATTGATGTGCAAAGTATACAATTAATGCAGAATAAAAGGAATTGGATTCCTTAGCTTTCACTAGAATGTATTCCATAACACATATAACAAGAGTTCAATGAATATCTCATAAGTTAATCAAACATTAGAATTACTATTTTTAAAAAATAATAAAACCACTGCCACTGAGGTGATGTCAACTCACAGCGACCCTACACAAGGTTTCCAAAATTGCAAATCTTTACTGTCAGCCTCAACTTTCTCCTGCAGAATTGCTGGATTTGAACCACTGACCTTGTTTGTAGTTAGCTGCTCAATGCCTAACTCACAGCACCACCTTTACATAATTACAATAAGGTTTTACCTGTTTAAAAAAATGAAGTGTTTTTCTGTTAGCTTCAAAACATCTTAGTTAGAAAACCAGACTTTTTTTTTTTTTTTTTTTTTTGTGAAAATATACAGATATATGCACATTCAACCATTTCTACGTGTAGAGTTCAATGACATCGGTTACATTCTTCACATTATGTCTTGTTTTCTCTCCCCCTATAAGATTTCACTACCACTGACTTTCATTCTTTAAAAGACCAAATTGGTATAGTGAGTCAAGATTCTACAAGAAATTTTTAATTTTGTTCTACATTTTTTCCCCTTTTGATCAGAACTCATCTATTGAGTCTGTGATTAAAGTACTCAGCAAGGGTGGCCGAGCACCATTCACTTCTTATGGTTTTATGTCAAAGGAGACAGCAGTTCATGGAGGCAACTAGCCCAGAGCCTGGCATTTCTGAAAAGTATACATTGTTAAAAATTAAGAATGCATACAGGCTTAGAAACTAGAGGGAACGTCCTAACCAAGATGAAAATCCCTATCATCTTCATTCTCACCCTCATCATTTTAGTAATCAAGAGATGAATTAAAATCTTTCTCTTAAAATGTTTTTGTTTTATGTACCTACGCACACACATCCACACACAACATGTGCTTGTTTCTTCTCTCGATACAGATTAGGCTAAATTACAGAAGATACACCCAGTGAGAAGGAAGAAACTCACTGTCAGAGGCAGAAGAGGACTCGTCCTCATTCTCGTCATCTCCCCACCGGGACTGAAAGTCTCCAGGACGAAGCAACACTTTGTCTGACGTGGAAGTCGGCAGAACAGACATGGATTGTGAGAGGGGTGTTTTCTGCAAATTAGACTTGGAGAACAAAGTCTTGATCTTTGACTTCTTTTTCTTATCTTTTGTAGGAGATTCATCATCACTGTCGGCTGAGGGCGTCCTGCTGGGGACGATGGCGGAAGCACTATCTGACGCACTATCCTTATTCTTCCCCTTGATCTTGTCCTTCAGTTTTCCAAATGGGTTCCGAGACTTATCTTTCATGGAAAGGTCAAACATGCTAGCAGTCATGTTATTTCTCATAAACTGGATGTCAACCTCAATTTCTCCTCGCTCTTTATCCTTCTTTCCTGGTTTGGATTTCAAGGTGTACCACCTACAAGGAGAAAAAGGGAAACGCTGAGAGGTTAACTTTTAACTCAAGAATCTGAGCTGAGGAGTCTGAAACCTTTTTTTTTTTTTTTAATTGTGGTAAATACATATGTATTGAAACAATTTTCAAAAGTGATCTCCAACCCCAATTAGCCTCTCTTCTCTACTACCACCAACTTCATATACAAACACATTCTTATGCTCAGTTTTTAAACTGGCAGTGGGTGGGGTAGGGATAAAAGCAGGGTTTTTGAGAAGATACCCACAAGTCAAAGATCTGGTTTGATATTGTAGTTACTATATAATCACCTAAAATTCCAATTCAGTAAAAACATATTTCTAAAAAAATCATTAAACTAAAATGAGTATTCTCGAAAGTAATTTCCTATGACTGGTATTTTTTTTTTTTAAATCATACACAAACAGCTAAGAAGATAGTGTGCAAATCTAGAAATAAATCTCAGAGAAATAAAAAAAACTTGTAGTGAGGAATAGTCCCTGCCAGGCAGTAATGGAATATATAAGATGGAGATTGAAAGAGAGAGAAAGACTGGAAAGGAAGCATTCCTTCCTAGCTTAATGTTTTTGTTAAGTGCCATCAAGTCAGTTCCCACTCACAGCGACCCTGTATAGATACGGTTTCCGAAGAGCGGCTGGTGAGCTTGAACCACCAACCTTGCAGTTCAAACCAACCTTGCAGTTCAGCACATTAACTCACAGTGCCACATTAGGAAAAAATGAACCTTTCAAACATCATTTAAGGATTTTATTTGGTCATTTACAAACTACTTCAAGTACAGCAAATCAGTCCAATTCCATTTACTGGTTTGTGGACAGGTAAGCACTAACTGGCATGTTTCAAAACTTATCTTTCTACAGTTGACACAGGACTCCTTGTGTGGCGCTTTAGGAAATGCACTGAACTGCTAATCGCAAGGTTGGCGGTTCAAAGCTACCTGCCACTCCTCAACTGAGTTACTATGAGTGACCAACTCCACGGCACTTTAACAACAACAAAAGTTGAAGCAAGCTATTTTTCCTTTAAAACATTCCAGAGGACAGATAGAGAAATGATGACTTCAAAGATTCAGTTTTGCTTTGTTGTTGTTGTTGTTAAGTGCTGTCGAGTCGGTTCCGACCCATAGTGACCCTGTACAGGGTTTCCGAGGGTGTAAATCCTTACGGGAGTAGAAAGCCTCATCTTTCTCCCGCGGAGCGGCTGGTAGTTTCGAACCGCTGACCTTAAGGTTCGCAGCCTTTTTGCTTTAGAGTATAAAATTTTAAGTGGTTTTTTTTTTTTTTTTTTGCCTGTGAGCAACTCCAGCCAGAGAGAGCTTAGTTCTATCCTGTGCCTTGTTCAGATGCCAGTTGTCTTTTCCACCAAACTGCTAAATGCAGAGTGCATTTGAAAATGGGTTTTTGGCACTTCCCCCAGCCAATACAAGAACCGAGACTCCCTCACAAGAGCTTTCCTGGGCCCATTAATGACTGCAGGGTTGCCTGGTTGTGACATCATACTCCGAGAGCCTCAGAGACAGCCTATAAGCTTTCCTATTTACAATGGTCCCCTCCCTGTTTCCTTAGGCTGGTATGCGTAGGTGCACTGCTGCAGTCAGCCAGCCGTGGTTGTGTTGTGGGAGGAGAGTCCTTTGTTCTCTGTGCCCTATAAAAGGTCACTTCTTGTAGGTAGAACTTTGGAATTTCATCATGGCATCACATGAATGATCTCCTTCACCTGGGTGCTTCATGTTTGTTTTGTCTTGCTTTCACTCCTATTTTAAGACTTAATAAGGACTCCTAGTGTGGCGCTGTAGGATCAGCACTGGACTGCAAACCACAAGGTCGGCAGTTCAAACCCACCAGCCGCTCCTTGGAAACCCCATACAAGGTTGTTATGAATTGGAAGCAACTCAACAGCACTTAACAACAAGATTTAATAGTCTCGGCGCTGTGGGTTAATGCACCAGACTGCAAAGTCGTTTGAATCGCAAGGTCAGTGTTCAAGCTCACCAGTTGCTCCTTGGAAACTCTATACAGGGTCGCTATGGGTCGGAATCAACTCGACGGCACATAACAACAAGGAGCTCTGGTGGAGTACTGGTGTGGTACTGTGGGTTAATGCGTCAGAGTACACAGTCGTTTGAACTGCAAGGTCGGTGGTTCAAGCTCACCAACTACTCTTTGGAAATCCTATACAGGGTCACTATGGGTCAGAATTGACTCGATGGCACTTAACATCAACAACAAGAAGTTCTGGTAGCGTAGTGGTTACGAATCAGGCTGCTAACCTCAGGGTCAGCAGTTCGAAACTACCAGCTGTTCCGCGGGAGAAAGATGAGGCTTTCTGCTCCCGTAAAGATTTACAGCCTCGGAAACCCTGTAGAGGGTCGCTATGAGTCGGAATAGACTCCACGGCATAACAACAACAACATAATATTTTACATATTGGAAGATGGGGTCTCTTCTGTCTCCTAGAACAGTTCACACTGGCACTGTGGGTTAATGCGCTAGGCTGCAAAGTCAGTTTGAACCGTAAGGTTGGCAGTTCAAGCTCATCAGCTGCTCCTTAAAAACCCTATACAGGGTTGCTATGGATTGGAACTGATGTGATAGCACTTGACAATAACAACATGATAAGCAGTGTGAACAATTAACCAAAAGATCGGTGGTTCAAACCAACTAGCCACTCCTCGGAAACACTATAAAAAGGGTCGCTCTGAGTCAGAGCTGACTCAATGGCACCTAACAACAACAAAATCAACAACATATGCCCGACACTCAAAGCAAAAGATTTTCTCCCTTTAGCATTCATTTTCCATCTGGAAGTCTGAAATCTTTGGTGAACTGCAAGAATGAGAACCTGGTTAGTAGCATAACCACTATAGGACAAAGTAGTTCCCAACAGAGGGTCTACAGAAAACTCTCCACAGGTCACTCTCACAAACTGAAAACCTGCTTTCTGACGTTACTTCCAATAAGATATTTCAGAGCTGAGGGATGTAGATTTTAAGGAAATGATTCTGTCCAAACAAGTACAACTTCCTCTTTGACCAATTCTCTGTAACTTGTTCACAAGGCTGACTGCTCTGTCAGTAACCTTAGCTCATTTTAAACAGAGAAAAGGAAAAGAGGAAAGTAGAAAAAGAACATTTTAATCGCACCTACAGCATACCTCCCACAAGAGAAAGGTGAGGCTTTCTGCTACCACAAGGATTTAAAAAGTCTCGAAAATACTACACAGGGTCACTATGAGCCAGAACCAACTGGGTGGCACTTAACGACAACAACAACACAGCATACCTGGCACTGTACACACTTAAGTCTCACAAGAATGACAAAGCAGATATTCCACCCATTTCACAGAAGAAGAAATTGAAGTTCTTAGAAGTTAGGTAATTTATACCATATCATGTGACTAACTGCTCAGGGGCACAGCCTAGATTCTGAGTCAGAACTGCATTTCTCTAAAGCTCATGTTTTTTCTCTCCTCCATCAGGATTCCCGCTTTTGTACTCTCTCCCAACTTATCCATGAGTCACACAGAGAGAGCTCAAAGTTACATTCTTTTTTTTTTTTTTTTTAAAGTTTTTATTGTGAATTCAGTAATAGTTTATATGGAAGAACATCAGTACATTGGTTTTACACTCATCATTTCATTGCAATGATTACAATCTCCTCTGTGCATCATAACTCAACAGTATTTGCTTCTATTCCCTCTGGGTTTTTTTTTTTTTTTGGAGGGGGTGGGATGTACACAAAAATACTCAGGAACATACAATAGTTTAAACAACCAAAGGGCACATTCTGCAAACCTGCCTCCTGGCTACCAGCTTACTCAGTCTTTCTGTTTCATGAGTCTAGAGTCCTCAGCTGCTCTCTCTCTATGTCCTCATCTCTGCCTCCATCTCTGGTGTCACTGCTTCTCTGGATAGGGTCCCACATTCCGCTCATGCTCTTCTCCCTTGATGATCCTAAGGGTCCTCTGTTCCTGGACTGTAAGATTAACTACTCCCCCTTTTTTGTTACAGAAATTCTACCTTTACAGTTCTGACAGTCGCAATGAGTGATGATAACAATTTCTCAAATCATAAGAATCTTATCCCCATCTCTTTTCACCAGACCCATCAAGACAAAATGAAAACTATTCAGTGGGACATTACCTTGCCCTGCACCCTCTTAAACTCCCTCTTGAAAACTTGAAAGCCAGTAACTTCATGCCTTTATTGCCCCCCTCATTTTAGGTAGCCAATGTCTAGTTGCCTTATATTCTTTCTGAGGCAAGTTTAAGTTTCTAATGGCCCAAGATAAAAGGAAAAAGTGGGGAAACCCCATAGCTTGCCAGCAATTAATCTTAAAATGGCATCAAGTCCAATATACAAAGTCACCAAGAAGAACCTGAACTAGATTAAACAATACATCCAAAATCCCATCAAATGAAGTAAGTTCCATTTTCAGACCATTAAGAAAAAAAATCTTTTATGGTTTTTGAAGTTACAATCCACAGCTGGGGGGAGGGGGGAAATTGGATTTGTCTTTAGAGACAACTTCACTCCTGCCAGTTGAATGTCTTCCCAATATGTTTTTCCAAGGCCTGACCTGGAATCATTTGCATATTATTTATCACTTAGCTGTTGAGAAGATTATTTGTATTTTTTCTCTTCTGACAGTCATAGGGTAAACTGTAGCCTAGGTGATGAAAGGTTTTTGTAAATACCAATTGTAGGCACCTGAAAAGGGGAAGTGGCTGAAAGCTGAATGCTGAGGCTCAGATGACTACAGCAGTGGCAGGCAGGCGGGCAGAATCCAGGGTCATTCAGGGCTCTGCCAGCTTGTCCACATAGCCTCTTCTGTTAGTACCCCACCACCCTTTCAAAGGATGCAAAGCTGCTACAGGCCTTCAAAGAAGGCCATTCCAGAGTCCTCCCCTGGGGGCCTATTATTACCTGATGTTCAAATACATTCCCTGGGCACCAAAGTAGAATTTGTTTTGGAAACTTCCAACAC